TTATTTTTCTCCTTGGAGAAGGAGGGAGCCTTTTTAAGAGGTAGCAACAGGTTATAGGAACCCGGCTCCACTGATTCCCAGGCTAAGAAGTGGGTTATAAACAAAAGGGCTTCTTACCTCCCAGTGATGAATAGAGACCTCACCAGAAACCAGCCAGAGGACTGGGTTTCTCTGTGACTCCTCTTCCTCCAGCTCCTTCCTCTTGCCTCCAGGCTCAAAATCCTAAGGCTGGGCTGAGGTTATCTGTCAGACTCCGGTGAGGAACAGAGGCAGAGTTCACTATGTTTTCTTCCCTCTGGCCACAGACACTGTGGCTACATGTGCCCAGCTGCCAGACACTAGGCAGGAGGCTCAGTGTTGGGGGCAGTTCAGGCCAGCAGCAGGTCTGGCTGGCATTCTGTGGCCAGAGTGACATAGTATGTACTTTTTCACTGCAGAAGCAGTGTCTTCTAGACCCAAGACAAGCAGCAAGACCCTTTATGAGGGCACCTAGGTTGGTACCCAGAAGTCCCAGGGATTACTAGGAGGCAGTCACACTCTTAAGCCTCATTGTCTAATGGAGGTCCAGCACCAGGCCATGGCTGCCCCCCCCCCCATATAAGAAACATGAGGACATCCCAGCTTAAGGCTGCAGTGCGTGCAGTCTCTGTAAACAGAACCTTCCTCTCTCCTCTCAGAACTAAGGAATCCTTTAGGTCGAAATTAAAGAGCAGGCCTTGGGCCCTCTCTCTTTTAGCAGTCCAGAAAACAAAGGCCAATTAGGCCTCCTCTGGAATCTCAAGGAAGGCAAGTCTCCTGCAAAGACCTTTGGCTGGGGACTGCAGTCCAAGGCCTGGTCAGGGAAAGAGACCACTGTCCCTAAGGAAAGAGTCATTCCTTACAATGTCAAACTGACTTGCTGCTGCTTCCTTCTTCTCCTCCTCCCCCTCCTTCTCCTCCTCCCCGTCCTCCACCTTTTAGGCAATGTCAAGAAAAGGGTTAGAGCCTGTAACATCGGACTCTAATGGCTGGGGATGCCCGGGAAGGCAGTGTGGTAAGAGGAGAGGGTCCCAGATTTGGCGAGCTGGTCCAAGAGCCCTGCCACAGTAGTCTATGTGGAGGAGGAACGAGCTTGCTCAGTCAGTCAAGAACAAATCTCAGCCAAGTTGTCCATCTGATGCGTGGCTTTGTGTGCGCACACTGGGCTAGATGTAGAGTTCTCTTCGGGGCCCTTCTGCTGGAGGTGTGGCTTGAAGCAAGTGTCGGTTTCTAGGTACATCTCTTGATACCATCCTGCTCTCCGTTGATTACATCTAGTAAGTGGCCTCGGTGGCTTTAGGAGTTCAGTGTAGCCTGTCCTTTTGCTCATTGGTGTGGGGGCAGATCAGTGAGGCATTGGGTGAAGTCCTGGTGATCCAGTCAGAGGATAAAACCATAGAACGCAGGGTGAATAAACGCAGGAGAGGTGAGGGTTAGGAACAACTAGAGGGGAAATACAAGAGGGTGACCAGTTAGTTCTTTTATGGGAACAGGCCCAGAAACCTGCTCTCTAACTTGTGGCAAGCCTGAGCAGAGTGCACACCAAGAGGACAGCTATCGCTGATCCCTTCTTTCCCAGGTGGCCTTGGTTGGATGCGCGGCACTTGCTGGTCAGGGCTGCAAGATGATCTGGCGTTCTAGAAGTCTTCTTCGGGCTCTGCAGGTCTGGAACTCCCTCAAGTACTGGTCAGCAAAAGGGGCAGGTGTGGCAGCGATAGCAGGGGCAGGGGACGCAGTAGAAGGGTGTGTTCTGCTTGGCCAGCTCGCCCCAGCACTCACACGCGAATTCGGCCACGTGCCGCCCGGTGGCCCCCCTGTCTCGGAGTGAGGCGGAATAGCACCGGGGGACGTCTTCGAATCTGGCGTTGCCCCAAGCGACCTGCGCGGCGAATCAGTGGCGGCGAACTGTAGAATGGTGAATTAGTACCCGGCAGGCCCTCCAGAAGTGGGACTCGGTTTTGGTTCCTCCGCCTGCTGGGCTGTATGATGGGAGGCGATGCATCCAGGAAATTTTCATGATAGTAGCCAGTAGTCTGGGATGAAGCGTGGGCAACGGTCGGCTCCATCTCCATCAGCTCGTCGAGGTCATCATCTTGGGTCTCATCCTCTGACTCTTGCTCCTGTTCTGGCTCTTGCTCTGGCTCCTGCTCTGTCTCCTGGCCCCCATCTGCACCTGCCTCCCCACCCTTATTCTCATCTTCATCCTCGCTCCTCTTGAATATGTTCACCTCCACACCCACATCCACCTCCTCATCCTCATCGTCCTCTTCCTCCACTTCCTGTTTCTGCTTCATCTCCTCCAGCTGCTTCTTCCTCATCTCTTCCTCCTTCTTCCTCTTCTCCTCCTCCTCCTTCGCCTCCTGCTGAATACCTCTCACGTGCCTTCGCTGGTCCCTGTCGTAAAGCTTGCGCCTGCGTGCCTCTTCATCTTCGTCACTGTAGTACTCTTCTTCATCACTGTCGTCGATATTAGGGTCCTTAGCAAAAGGGAAGAAGATGTTGCGAACCCCAGGGAGAGGGATTGGCTTGGGGACACGCACTTTTCTTTCTATCTCCACACATTCGAGAATCAGCTCATCCAGGTCGGCCATTTCGGTTGACCATAAGAGCTCCTTGCGGAAGAATTCTGACAGGCCTTTAAGGAATTGGTTTTGAAGGCGGCAGTCATCCCAAGACAAGAATTGGGCCAGGAACTGAAAAGCATCCGCATAGCTGCCTAGAGTACAATCCCCCTGCTTGAGCTTGCGGATGGCCTTTTTAGCCACACTTGGGGGGATGGGCCCGCAGAATTCCTTACGGATCTCATCCAGGAAGCGTGGGAAGTTGGCACGCAGGGGGCTTCCTTCCCGGGTGACTGAGATGGCCCAGTCCTTAGCTTCACCAGTGAAAAAGGAGATCAGAAAGGCCACCCGCTCGGCGCCCCCGGGGAAATGATCCTCATGGTCAGCTATGAAGGTCTCTAGCCGCATCAGGAATTCGGCCAGATAGACCGGGTCGCCCGAGAAGGGCTCTAACTCAGGCCGCTCCAGCGGCGGCAGAGGAGGCTGTGCCGGCTGCTCCTTCGATGGGGGCGGGGGCAGCGCCGGCGGGGGCGGGATGGGCAGCGGGGGAGGGTCGACGGGCGCGTCGGAGGTACCGCAATCCTGGATCACGCTAATCAGCAGTTCGTCCGAGGCATACTCGGGCTCCGCGCGAGGGGGAGGCCAGCACAAGAAAGGCAGCTCTCCCTCGGGAACTGCGTCGATCTCGCTGAGCGGGAACTCAAAGTTCTCCTCGGCCAGGACGGGCACCACCGGCACTGGCCAGCGGATGTAGCTGGAGACGTTGCCCCGCAAGGAATTAACCTCGGCTAGGGCTC